AGATGTTGGATGCTGCAGATGTTGGATGCTGCAGATGTTGGATGCTGTCTATCATGGTGCACTAAGATTCATAACTGGCTGTGATTATCGTACCCACCACTGCACCCAGTATTCACTGGTTAACTGGTCATCATTAACTTCACACAGACTCTCTCACTGGCACATTTTCATCTTTAAATCACTTCTTGGTCTGCTGCCTTCATACATCTCCTCCTACATGTCTCTGTGTGAGTGCAGCTACAGCGTGCGCTCTCAGGACATCATTACCTGCAGTGTTCCCTGAGTGAGGACTGAATTAGGCAAAAGGGCCTTCCCTTATTCCGCTCCTGTTTCCTGGAATATCTTACAAAAAGATTTGAAGCTCTCGACCTTGACCTCTCTAAGTGGCTTTAAGAATCTGTTGGACTCCTGGCAGGGACCAATGCAGACATGTTCCTGTTTTTAGTTTTCTACATTCGCCTTAGAATCTAGCTGTTTTTTGTTATTTTTCTTTTTTTAGTCTTCCTATTTGTAAAAAAAAAAAATTGTATGACTTTTTATAACTGTTTATTGTTGTTGCTGTTGTCCATTGTTGTCATCATTCTTTGTTAAAATCAGGTCTCTCTTGTAAATGAGTCCTCGAGGCTCAATGGGATTTACCTGTAGAAATAAAGGTTGAATGAATGAAAATGCAGACAGGGCAGTGGGGTGCTACACTTGCAAAATCCCAGTCAGATCTTTCAGCGTTGGTTCATTGACATCTTCACCCTCAGTGTCTTCTGCCGGGAAGAGGAAATGATGGTTGGAACTTCTAGGATGGCAATCCTAGAAGTTCCAACCTTTCCTTGACTGTTTCCTTGACTGATGAAGCCTTCCGGATCGAAGGCGAAACGTTTCAGCCAGAAAAAAAAAAAAAAACTATCCAGATGACCTGACTGAAAAATGTTGGATTGTATACCTGGATTATTGAACATGGACTTTGTTGTTAAATGCAAATATTCCTAAAGGAGTTGACTGTGATCCAGGCAAATGCAAAATGCCATGGCTAATTCAATTGTGGAAGTCAACGAGCAACTTGCTTATTCTTGACCCCCTAGAAAAAACTGAAGACCCTTCACATTCTGGGCCCCCTGCAAAATAGTTTATCTAAACTTCTATTTTACTTTGTATGCCACCCGCACTGATGGTATCTGACAAGTTGGGTTTTTTTAGGGCTGAGAATTAAAACACCCGCTTGGGTTGAAAACTGTAGAGGAAAGTTGAGATTTACTCAAAGGTTTATTGTTTTGTGTCTTGTTCTTCAACAGGTGGTGTCGTTTGTTCTTCACACCGTTGTGAGAGGATTTATCCACTCTTGCTGTGGCGGTCTTTATGCAGCTGTGTGAGTCATTGCGCCTTTAAAACTAACCATTTTTATTCACATCCAATTAAAAAGGTGGTGGTCAGTAGAAAATTAACACTGCAGTAAGCAAGTATTTTGCAGCTTCTATCCACAAAACAAGCATTAGAACCTTAATTTTTCTCATCTTTACAAAGCAAAATATTGTTTCTCTTCATTGTTTATACAACACAACACAACACAACACAATACAACACAACACAACACAATACAATACAATACAATACATACCATACCATTTTATTTGTAGAGCACTTAAAACAGCGACAAGGCCAACCAAAGTGCTGTACAAATAGAAAAACAGGCAACACACAAAACAATATACAAAATGAGGTTAAATCAGAATATAGACATAAAAACGATGCAGATAATAAATATAACATCTGACATAACATCTAACAACTGAACCCCTCATAGCCTCTGATGTGTGTCCCATCGGTGTATGAATGTGATAAAGCACTGATTAGTCTCTTTAGAATGATTTGTTCAATTAGCTTTGTAGAGATCTAGTATAGAGCTGTATGAACGGGTAAATGAGGACACAGATTGTTGTAAAGAGCTTTGAGTATCTTGAAATAAGATAGAAAGGTGCTGTATAAGTATAGTCCATTTACAGTCCATTGTGAACACAACCTATAAATATTTGTAATGTCAAAACAGTATTCTATAATCATTTCAGTACATGTAAAAATCCAAAAACTCTAGTCCATCAGTTATCATTTATTAACTCATAGCTTAATAAAATCAGTAAGTTCACAGTTTCAAAGTGTTTGATTGGCTAAAGATATATTTTAAAAATGCTCCTCCATCTATATGTTTAAAAGTAAAATCAGAAAATAGAAAACCCTTAACTGTGCTGGTAACGTTAATTAGATGTTAATAATGATAAGTGATGTCAATTTGATGTCAATAAACTGTCACAGCCAGATCAGTATGAACCTTAAAGAACCCTCAGTCATGATAAATGATAACACCCTCATTTGATGTGTGATGTTCTGGGAGTAGAACCGGTGACTTTCCCCCCCGGCACTCCACTCCATTCCCCCTCATCAGGGGCATTTCCTCGGACATCTGTCCGGCCTCCATCCTTCAAACCCCTGTCATTGGACTCGCAACCTCTCTGTCAGCGACTCGTTTGAAGCTGCATTATCAGGAAAAAAGAACAAACATCCTTCTCCCACAATATCACAAAACTCTATCAGTCATCTATCTAAATTTCTATAATTATCATTATCCATATATAATTATCAATTATCATTCACTATTGGTAAGTCAATGGTTCATATTGCAGGTTCATACTCATCTGACACCTCTCTGGGAACGTTGATCACAAACTCACACAGGTGTTCCCTGTGTTCACCTTCCTGGAGCTTCTTCATCTTAGATAACCTGAACAGGTGATGAGAGACACAAACAGCACAACACCCTGCTGGCAACCAGCCACACAGAGTCCATCCTTACACCCATCATCCTGTTCCTGTCAAGTTTTTCTGAATTGAGTCATCACATTTAGCATTTTATCAGCAACACTTATTGTTTTTCTCCATGCACCAAATTTCACAAGTCATTGATAAGTATTATGCAACATCACTCTAAAATGCTATATCTTAAATCATGTTAGTAGTTGTTAAAATTCATTATTATATATTTTCTGTTAGTATCCATTTAAGAATAATTAAAAATAAGTAAAAATAGTGTATTCCAACTCTATTAGTACTTGTAAAAACCTTACTTGAGATAAAAACACATCTATAGATTTGATTTAATCTGCCTGTAACTCTGTCACTGAACATTTTTAGTAATTTAGAAGTAAAATATCTAGCAAAGTTTTTTCTCCTTATATTATATGTAATATTCCAGCCTAATTCATTATCCAAAACAACCTCTAAAATTTAGCTCATCTCATTATAGAAAAATCAATAGTCTTTACTTAAAATCATGAATTGTGTCTTTCCTGATTATCAATATTTACTTGTATTCAGTAATACATAACACTTTGATACCTCACTACTTGTCCCATCTGCCCAGTTTAGGTTCTCAATTTCCTTCTGGCATCTCCTGTAGAGAGAAAAATGGTATGTGTGTGTGGGGGGGGGGGGGGGGGGGGGAGAGGGGGGTTGTACAGCCATCCATCCATGCTGCAGCACTTTATAGTTAACAGTTCTAAAAAGCATTCACAGGAGTTATTTTAGTTCAGCACTGCTCCAGAGACCTGTGAAGGGTTAATATTGTTCAAGATGTACAAATCACATCATTAAAATAATCCTCAAAGATAATCTTTGTTTAATCAGTAATTTTTTAAGGGACAGGCAACGGTGAAGTGAAAATTTCTCTTTTGAAAACATAAAATTACCAATTTTAATCTGCATTTCTTTAATTTAATACTAAGACTATATCTTAAAACTGCAGGTCACTCACTGTGAGATAATCACAGCTCTCATCATGACTCCTTCAAGACATTCTGTTCAATCCCATAGTTAATGTCGACTTGTATTACCGTTTAAAACTGTCCATAATTTAAAGGTGGATCCATTTATCTGTCAATTACTTGAAGGTGAACCTTCACTGGGGTACATTTTAACATATAGTGTTTGTCCGAAAAGATGATGTCTTTTCTTCTCTGTAAAATATTCAGCACTCTGTGTGTGTGTGTGTGTGTGTGTGTGTGTGTGTGTGTGTGTGTGTGTGCACACATGTGTGTGTTTGAACGTGACTTCTATTTAACCAGGCAAATACCTTTTAGGTCACCAGACGTCCCCAGCAAAGGAAGCCTAACATTGCTAAGGAGGTCCTGCACCTCAAAACCTAACATGCATGTGTTTTGTCTGTGGGAGGAATAAAATGATTAATACTTTTATTACCTGAAATTAAAAACCAAACTTACACAGCTCCGTTACCAACACTCGCATGAACCAGTGTTGCTTAAGCTGAATAGTATACATGTTATTTATTTATGTAACTTTTAATGATTAATTCAAATGTTTAAATATTATTGTCTACTCTCCTCTTCTCCTGAGTCCAGATGAGAGCTGTCATCACCCCCAACAGACCCTGCAATTTTATTTAATAAAAATAAGCTCTAATCTGGAATTGTTTTCCCCCATCTTAAATCATCCTTCTGTCTTTAAGGGACTCTCATAAGAATTGTTTTATACCACTAGTGTATTTATATTTAATGTTTTTCCGTCTACATCTTAGATTTATTACTGTTTGTCTTTTAAGTTTAATACTTTTGTTAAATAACAAATACATAAAGAGTGTTCTCAGCCAAGGACACTTAACTTTTATAGAAATATGTCATTATAACTGTTTCTAATCTACTAATATATTTATCACAATATTCCCCAAATACTTTTACCCTGATTGGTTTAATTTCACAGACATGTTCCCTAATTGATTTAATTCACTTTCACCTGTAGTAATTCAAAATCTTGCAAAAAATAAAAATAAAATAAAAAAAACACGGTCAGACAACACTGGTAGTTGTCCTGTTTATCTAGGCGACCAGGCTCCAGTCAATCGACTCCAGACACAACGACACGATAATCCACACACATGATACTGTGGTAAATGAAAAACATCTTTGACCTGTCACATTATCTTCAGAGAGAAGGTCTTTGTGTGTTCATCTACTCACATCAACTTGTGCGGAAATTTCTGTTTTCTGTCTGGGCTCCCAGTTTGAACTGTACCTGTTGGTCTTCAAAAGTTATTTAAATAAATTTATGGTAATATAAAAAGGTCACTTACCAATTTTTAGATGTGTGATGTTTTCTTCCGCCTTAGGTTTTATACGTCTTCATATATTTGTTGTTATTAAGTGACCTTGTACTAGGTGGCTGTTGATATTACAGTTTCTAGCTAAGCTGCGTGGCAGTGTGGTAGGGGCCCCTGCTACCACTAACCATACCACCTGCAGAAAGCTATGAGTAAGACTAGTTCAAAAGTCATAATTTAGTCCAAGATCAACTTGGAATTTATCTCATAGTTTGTTAGATCAACATTTATAACAAGACATTCACTCATCCCAGGACACGCACCATGGACACACTTCTTTCATATCACTTTCACATCACGTACACATTTTAGTTTTGACTAGCGTCAGTTTTAGCTCAAAAACCCACACTTAGGAACACCACCCACATAGATGCACCTCATTCCTAATATTTTATCAGCTTTTCAAGGCTGTAGACATATACAACACATTTTACCTCTTATCCTTTAAAACAAAATTTCTAAATGTCCCTCAACTGCCTACCCTAAAAACTAACCTGACCCCATTACTACTCTAACAACTTCACACGATCGTCTCCAGGTCTCTCTCAGACCTCTCCTGGTCTCTCCCGGACCTCTGCTGGTCTCTCCCGGACCTCTCCTGGTCTCTCCCGGACCTCTGCTGGTCTCTCCCGGACCTCATATTATTTAACGTAGGTGTATATTTGAAAGATCCTCCCGTTTCAATAAGCACTGCTATAACCAACACGTCGTTTATCGCTGTGCTCTTTGACCGGTCTGCACCAGCTGCAGACCTCAAGGGGACTATCACCAAAAACAGGATCCCTGGGCCGACAACATCTTTCAGAGAGTTAGCAAAGCTCCCCACAGGCACCCAAAACTCAGTAGAGTTTTTTTGAACTGTCAGAAAGACCCACACCTCTTAACGTTTTCCCGACGTTCACGTATTAACGCATTTCTAATAAACAGCGACGGGCAATTACACCCGGAACATCTTTGGACTGCGCACACTTCTCGTAAAGATTTTACCGTCTGCAAAAATGATGTTATAATTTTCACACGGGGCTTTAAACCTCCAGTCACGCCGTTTCTTTACTTTAATCTAAAATCAAACAAAAGTTTATTTACGGGCTTTCAAATCAACTGGACAATTCTTATTTTTAGGGAAAAATAGCGTTTTGCGTATTTATAACACTCTCGGACCACTTCCGGTTAGCAAATTGCTAATGTTTCCGGTCTGCTCCCAC